TAATAGAATCAGGGACATAGAAAGGGAATGGACTGACTATTCTTGGGTGGGGGAAAGGGTGTGGGATATGCGGGAAGAGACTGGACAAAAATCGTGCACCTATGGATGAGGACAGTGGGTGGGGAGTGACGGCTGAGGGTGGGGTGGGCACTGGAAGGAAGGGAGTTATGGGGGGAAAAAAAGAGGAACAAATGTAATAATCTGAACAATAAAGATTTAATAAAATAATAACAAAAAAAAGAAGTTTCAACTCTTTCTCAAACAAGTTTAGCCTTCCCATTTTATTTTTTTAATATATATTTTATTGATTTCAGAGAGGAAGGGAGAGGGAGAGATAGAAACATCAATGATGAAAGAGAATCATTGATCGGCTGCCTCCTGCACCCCCCACACTGGGGATCGAGCCTACAACCAGGGCATGTGCCCTGACCGGGAATCAAACCGTGACCTCCTGGTTCATAGGTCAATACTCAACCACTAATCCACACCAGCCGGGCTATCCTTCCCATTTTAAATGTCCTTTAATTTTTAAATATTCTTAAGACTATAGGATACATTTTGTAGACATTAAGAATCTTTTAATTCAGTTCTCTCATGTTTCTGAGAATAGATACAGGCCTGGGCACCTTCCCTGAGGTCATTCAGTTACTCAGTAGCAGAACTGGGAGGAGAATCCAGGCTCTTGGTTTCTAACATCGCTTGTTATGGCTCCTTTTCTTTCTCCCGTAGCCCTGGACGCTTTCATTTCAAATGTGAGCTCCTCTACGACGCTAAAATCTAGTCCTGTCTGCAGAAATTAGTCAAGGGCTAATTTTAAATATCACATTTTTGCAAGAAAGTAGGAGGTTTAGGATTTGGTTGATTTGGTCTTGGCTAAATGACCAGACAAGTTCTGGAAGAATTCTGCAGAGTGTGCGGGGGAAGTGTGCTAGGACCCACGAAGTGTCAAGCGTGGCACCGCCGCAGACTGTCGTGTGCAGCTTCGGGCACTTGGACTTAAGGGATTGGGCAGTGCTGGGAGGAAGACCTTATTACATGTCAAGGTGGTGAAGGACAGGATTTGGGAATGACTTCCACACAATCGTTTCTTTGCTCCATTTCAAACTGTGCTTGTAAAGTCGGGGGGAAGAAGTCTGCGGCTCCCAGCTCAGATAAGGATCTGGAGATGATTTCAGAAGCACAGAGAGCCTTGTATCACCAGCCAGTAATCAGATTAGCGCCACCCAGCAGGCGGTCAGCAGTAGAAATGACTGTTACCACTGACTGTTACCGTACTGTGTGAGGTGGGGGGTAAGACAGGCTGTGGGAGGGTATTCTCTGTGTACTTCCCCAGGTCTACTTTCCAGGACCTTATTCAAGTCCTGGCAGCCATTCCCTAATGGATCTTCCATCAACGCCTTTATCTTTATCTCCTGCCCTCTGGTTTCCGGTTGGGATAGGCCAACGGCAGCGTCCAGCATGGGCAGAGGAATCAGTGGGTAGGAGCGTGCTGCTGTGAGTTCACTTCCCTGACTTCCTCCCAGCGGGGCTACACTCTCAGTCACCCATCGCCCATGTCCTTCCTGGTCACAGCGCCTGCTCCGTCCTCTGTGTCTTCATGCCAGTGGGTGGGGGTGTGTCTGCCTTGGGCGCCTCAGGAGCCCTGTGTCCTTTCTCTCAACCAACCTTGGGTCCCCCTCACCCCTCCACCCCACCCCACCCCCACACAGTTCCTTCCTTATATGTTTCCATTACTCTGCTTCGGGGAGTCCTCTGTTGCCTGCTGGGGCCCTGACTGGTACTTTTTCCAGGAGAGGATGGGGAGTTGCACAGCTCAGGTGTGGAGATCCACCGCCCAGTGGCACTTAAAGGCAGGCAGCGGTGCCTCTTGGTTTAAAAGAAAAATGTAAGTGAATATTTTTGTGAAGCAACGATATGTGAGATGCTGTGAACACACTTTTGACTTACCAGGTTCTCTTTGGGAAGATGCTCTTGTGTCTGGAAAAATGACGTTTGGGTGGATAGAGAGTTTTGCCTTTGGGATGGCACCGGTCAGCAAACAAGAATTCAAAAGAATGAGAGTGAAGCAAGAGAACGGGGCTTTAGGCGGCCCAGAATCGGTGGGCAGCGCTGGATGCGGGCGACTGTGGCGGGGAAAGAAGAACGGACAGACGCAGAAAGAGCAGGGACATGGGAACTGGAGGGTAGAATCAGATTTGAACTCTCAGCTTTTACTCTGCAGCCGTGTGACCGTAACCAAGTCACTCGATGTCTCTGAGCATCAACACCTTTACCTTTAACTTTTTTTTTTTTTTTTTTTAGAATTACTAAGACAATGAAATGATAAGTGCTCAGTTAATTTTCTTTCCATCCCTGCTAGGTCCTCTGCCTCCTGCTATCAACATTTCCACAGATTTATTGTTTGAACTTGAGACAATTATTTGCTCTTTCTGTGCTCATGCCCGATTCTATGAAAATGATTATGCTCCATCAGATTATTTCTGCATTCCATCCCATATATATTGTATATTGACCGGGTAGTACATGTTCATTTAAAATTATTACCAAAGAGAGAAAAAGCTCCTTCTACTCCAGTTTTCTGGCCCTCCCGTCTCTTCCCCAGGGCCCATCCCAATTGCCTGTTGGTGGTATATTTTTAGATGGTTGGGGGCGTGTAGGAGGCAGCCAATTGATGTTCTGATTTCACATCAATGGTTCTCTCCCCCTCTCCCTGCCTCTCTCTCTCAAAATCTTTTAAAAAATTACTGTGCCATTAGTTCCCTAGATGTTAAACATAATAATGATTATTGGTATCGCCTACATTGCACTTAAAAAGCTAGCCAGCTGATTCATTAAATGCATTTCCGTTTACCCAGCATAGAAACTTATTATTCATTCTACTAACTAGTATAATTTAGCTTATTAAAGCAAGGAGGAGTCATCAAAGAATTGAATGTTTTTTTAAAAATACTTGTGCAGGAGTATGAAAAATTGTCTCTGAAATGTAACATGTGTGTTTATTTTATCCTCCAAACCCCATCAGAACATTTCCTTGGAAGGGGAAAGATGGTTTAAAATAAAGCAGAACTTTGAGGGAGAGTTTGTGGCACCCCTTTCCAAAGGTAATTTTGACAGGTGTATCTGCCTTCATTTTAGGGATCTGAGAAAGGTGCCCCACAACCTGGGGTGCCTCCCCCGTCCCCACTCGCTGCACACAGCCTCCTTAATCTCCAGTTCCCTTATACCATCCAGGCTTGTTCACTGCAACGGCAAGCGTCAGTCCTGGTTAACTTGGGACAAAAAAAAAAAAAGAGTGTTAATTGGCAAGAAATGGGACTCTTAGTTCATAGACTCTTAGAACAAGCTGAGGAACCAGCTCTTGGAGCCAGCAAGGATTGAGAGGAGGCCAGGGGGTGGAATTGCAGCCAAGCTACACCACAGAGCCATCTGGTCAGTCTGTGCTGCCCCCTCCTGCTGGCACCACCAGTCCCAACGTGTGTCAT